CCTCTGACTTGGCTGGAGGTGGAGCCGCTGCAGGGGGGGCCTCTGACTTGGCTGGAGGCAGAGCCGCTGCAGGCAGAGTCTCTGACCCTGCTGGAGGTGGAGCCACTGCAGGCGGAGCCGCTGACTTGGCTGGAGGTGCTGGACCTGGCGCTGATTTGACTGGAGGCGCCGGACCTGGCGCTGACTTGACTGGAGGCGCCGGACCTGGAGCTGACTTGACTGGAGGCGCCGGACCTGGCGCTGACCTGACTGGAGGCGCCAGACCTGGCACTGACTTGACTGGAGGCGCCGGTCCTGGCTCTGACCTGACTGGAGGCACCAGACCTGCTGCAGATGGAGCCACTGACTTGACTGGAGGTGGGGCCGCTGCAGACGGAGTCGCTGACTTGACTGGAGGCTGGGCCGCTGCAGATGGAGCCTCTTGGACAAGCTGGGCCGGGGGTGGAGCCTCTTGAACAGGCTGGACCGGAAGCGGTGCCGCTGACTGGACCGGACGCGGTGCTGCTGACTGACTGCTCACTGCAGGTGTTGATGCTAGTTGGACTGGAGGCAGTGCCGCTGTAGGCGGGGCCGCTGCAGACGGGGCCGCTGACTGGACTGGAGAACCACGGAGGATAGAGTGTCCAGCTGGAACTCCTGGAGGCTGAGGATTTGACGGAGCCAGACCAGCTCAGCTTGGAAGCCAGCGAGCTCTGTTAGATGGGCTGCAGGCTCGGTTCCTGGGTCTGTAGATGAAGGAGGTGCTGACTGGACTGGAAACAGAGGCTGGGGGTCCAAGCTGGCATGCCGTGCAGGATCCTCTGAGGTGGGTGGCCCCACTCTGCTCCCTCGGCCTTGTACCTCTAGTCGCCACCCTGGAGTGGGAGGAGACCTCGGGAGGGATGCCCTCCGGCTGGGTACCCTGCCCACAAGATGTCATTTCAATCCCCTCTTGAGGCTGACTCACCAAGGGGCTGGAGGTGACGTCAGCAAGGGTTGAAGTGCTCCCGTGGTGCAGCTCCTAGGCTGGAGGTGACGGCAGGGTCCGGGCTACCTCCCAGCGTCGGGGACCAAACCCGGGGGAGCACACAGCCAGTCTGGTGCCCACGTAGCAGGAGTGGTTCGGCTGCGTCTCAGAATCCAACCTCCCATCCGGCTCCGGGAGGGCTGAGAGGATCGTCGAGGCTGAGGTTCGGTGATGGTGTCTGCGGCGAGGTGGAGGTGGGGAGGCTGGCTGGCGGCTGGGAGTGAGCCACCGGAGCACGCACTCCCAGGGGGGAGCTTTCACGCTGCATCCTTCGTTGGGTCGGATCATTCTGTCACGGGTGCGAAGGTGAGTGAAGAGGAGGTGAGGATCCAAATGCGGGGAAGTAGGCAGGCAGACGGACAGGAACATTTTGGAAAAATTTTAATGACTAACACACGAGACATGCAAATGATGATCCAACAAGACAAAAAGGACTGACAAGGTTTAAATACAGGAGGAGCTGGGACCTTGGGTGATCGAGTGACGAGAGGCAGGTGGGAGCAATTAACATGGACACAGGACTGAACAGATGGGGAAACAGGACAGAGTGTTACAATCTGTCTTTCTTTACCTTCTAGTTTTGATATTATGTAATTATTTTAGCTTATTGTTACACACGTTTGTTGCTGCTCCTAACTCATTCACTGCCCGTGACGACAAAATCTACATTTTAAATCCAACCGTTCACTGGTTGACCTAAAGTCGTCATTGGCATTTTTGTTTACTGTATGGGCGTCAGAACGAGCCCCTGCACCATGAGAACTAACATCCCAGCTCTGAAGCCGATCTTCATCCATATCCGTCACACGTCACATGATCAGGAAGCAGAAAATCTATGTGTTAGGAGGTCGTTTTGGGCCGCTGCTGTAAAAAAAAAGTTAGGCGCGAACTGGAAAAGCTTCTGCCGATCACAATTCAACAATGGATTATGAAAGAACGAATAAAGCTCGAAACACGCGGATACTTGAAGAGAGAACACCACATCTCCTGTTCATGGACAAGGGTGCCCCCAAGGCGTGGCTAGGGATGGCCATGGCCACCCCTAGAAATGTGCTGTCCCCCCTCCCCCCAGGAAAAGTCAGTTTCAATAAATCACATTAATGTTCAGTCAAGCCATTTATTGATCTTGTTTATTCAAGACATAATTGTAAAACAAAATAAAAAAAATAATACAATTAATAAGAAAAGAAATAATCAGAATAATAAAATAAATACATATGTTTTCCGCTGCTCACCATTTAAAAAAAGTTTTTATCTCCATAGTTTTTTGTGAACACAGCAACAGGTGAGTTAACTTAAAAAAATAAAATTGTGAATTAAATTTGGAATAACATTTTCAATAATTGAAATGCACTTTTCTGAAATGTTTGTATTTGTAAAATTTAAGTTAAATATTTTGGATACTGTTTTTTTTAATAAATATGAATAAAGGAGCAATGCAGCACATTGCCACAGGCTAAACCCTCCCAGAGTTACCACAAGGTTCAATTTGGTGTGCCACCCCAAAAGTTTGTTTGACCCCATCCGACCACCCCATCAACATTTTTTGGAGGCACACCTGTTCCTGAATAGCTTTCAGCCATCCTTCGATGACTGATAACCACCATCCAGCTCTGTCTCCTGTCTGCTTATACTTAAATTAGTATAATAAATATTCTGTTTGACAAGTTATTTGTGCTGCCAGAATGTCTTTTTTAAGTCCAGTTTTGTTTATATTTAATAGATATTTATAAATCACATTTATTAAATTATCATTACTTTGTTGCACGTTTAGCTCTAATGTGATGAATTAAATTAGCACCTCACTGTTAAAAGCTCGTTTTAAATTCAGATGTGTTTGTATAAATTTATGGCCATAAACAAAAACAGGAAATATATACATTGAGATTTATTTAATTAATGAAACAAATATTAATAGCAGAGGCCCAGAGGAGGGAGAAATCCTTCAAAGACAAATTCTTCTGGAAGATCCTGACGACACACCAGAGGAGACCCAGCTGCTGACACCAGAGGATCACCTACGACCAAGAGAACAGCTGGTATCTGTGAATAAATTATATATTTAGAGTTTCTAGAAATGCACCTGACCCCCATCAGAGCTGGGCTTCAGACGACAGGATCTGGAGTCTTACTTCCTGATATGTGGACCTCTCTTCTCTGATTGGCTAAAAGCAACATGCCTCTACCACCGACTCTGTTTGCTCTGCAACGCTGATGTTTTGTCTCCACAAATAACACAAGCCTGGAGGAGTTCTGTTGTGTGGTGGAGTTGCTAATGCTAATGGTTAGCTTCTACTAGCTGGAACGTTCTCTGATGTTTCTCCGTCGTGAGTCCAGATGGGTGAGTCCATGAATGTTAAGTGACAATGTGACGTAGATCTGTCAGGATTTTCTAATCCTAGAGTTTCACCGTCTGTTTTCTATCAGAAGCTAATGCAGAAGATAGGTGTGGGAGACTATTATCTATCAGAAGCCACTGCATGAGATAGGTGTAGGAGACTATTTTCATGTTCAGCCTGCAGGTGAAACTGCATGAATGTACTCTGTCTCAGCTGGTGAGTGAACTCAGATTTTGTTGGAACCGTTGTTAGTTTCTCTGCAGCAGTAAAAGACGAGTGTTGATCCTCCGAATGGAGTAAACTCGTTAAGTTTTCTGTAGATTAGAAACCAGAACATCAGTGTGTAATCTGAAGAGTCCAGATTTAATAAAAGTCTGTTTCCCGTTAGAACAATGTGGATTACCTTCATGTGACGAAGAAGATTGATTGATTATGTTCCTCTTTAGATTAAAGTCTGAATCTTTTTCTGCTCTGAGCCTTTGATCCACACTTCATCTCAGTCCACTTCATCATTTCATGTCAACATTCTGTAATTAATGTGCAGACACAAGAGTTCAGAGGTCACTGTCAGTAATCTGCACACAGCATCAACACAATTATTTCAAACTGCTTCGTTTCAGTTTTTGATCCAGAACAGAATCACGTTTTGTTATCGTCAGCAGCAGAGAACAAACATCTGGTTCCTACGGAAACAGCTGCAGATTTCTGACTCCTCTCTTTTTTTATCAGTTCAGCAAACGCATCAAAATCACCAGATTAATCACTGATATTTATTATTATTTAGATTAAGTGAATAATTACTGATGCTGCTTATATAACACTACGTTTCTGGATTTTTTGACCACAAGTTTTCATTCACACAGAAGACTTTAGTTTGAAGCAAACTGTGACGTTGACGCTTCAGCAGAAAGTCGTAGATTACAGACTAAAAACTGAATAAAAACACTTTAAAACTGGTCTTGAGGGCGTGGAACACCTGGTCGGCCTCCTGGGACCACAGAAAGGGTCTTTTGACTGAGGTGAGTTGGATGAGGGGCGTGGCAATCTGACTGTAGTTCCTAATAAAGCTGCGATAGAAATTAGCAAAACCCAAGAATCGTTGCAACTGCTTACGTGTGGATGGGGTTGGCCTTGTCGGGATTCGTCTTCAGCCGTCCACTCTCCAAAACAAAACCCAGGAACTTGACGGAGGAGGTGTGGAACTCACATTCCTCGGCCTTGATGTGCAAACGGTTTTCGAGCAGTCGTTGAAGCCAAGTGGTGCTCGCTGCAGAACCACAAAGGCGGAGCTGCACCAGAGGGTGGAGCTGCACCAGAGTCATCCCCGCCCATTCATGCAGAGTCTTCCCCGCCCGTTCATGTAATTTTAAGGTGGAGCTGCTATAAACGTTTAAATAAATAACTTTAATTGTGTTTATTTTAAGTTAGGTTACTTACAGCCTTAAGCCGAAGTTGGAGTCACTTGGAACGGCCGGGAGCGGCAGCTCCACCTTTGTGCTTTTGTTGCAACAAGGACCGTCTCAGCAGAGGCGAGTCTGCCTGCACCAATTAGGAGCAGGAATGGGCGGAGCTGACTCTAGTGTAGCTCCACCCTCTGGTGCAGCTCCGCCTTTGTGGTTCCGCAGCGAGCACCCTCTCAGTCTGCCTGCACCAATTAGGAGCAGGAATGGGCGGAGCTGACTCTAGTGCAGCTTCACCCTCTGGTGCAGCTCCGCCTTTGTGGTTCCGCAGCGAGCACCCTCTCGTTGAAGCACAACTCAGACATGTTGACGGTGTTCCGTCAGTGATCTAGAAAAGATGAGAATATCGTCCAGGTAAACAGTAACAAACTTGTTGATGTAATCACCTAAGACAGAATTGACCAATGATTGGAAGACTGTGGGGGCGTTTGTAAGCCCAAACGGCATTACCAGATACTCATAGTGTCCAAGTAGGGTTTTGAAGGCGGTTTTCCACTTATCCCCTTCACAAATTCTCACAAGGTGGTAAGATCAGGTGGAGACTACTATGACTACATTGAATATGGTGGAACCGGAGCCTCTCACATGCTTCCCACAGTGAAGTACAGTCGTGAAGAAGGGCAGGCCTCGTCAGAAGCCGGAGAAGGTTGCTGCTGTCATGTTAGGATCGAGTCTTTTGACCCACGACATGCAGAATCACGAAGAGACAAGGTGAATAAAAGTAATATATTATTTATTGAGTTTGACGAGGCTGGGGAGACATCGGAGGAGGGCGGTTCTGGCAGCGTTCTGAGACAGAGAACAAGAATGAGTAATGTAAAGCAGACAGGGAAGGTGTGATTAGAATGGAGGCTTACAGATTCCAGTAAGGGAGTGGAGTGCTGAGAGGAGGGCGTGTCAGGTCTGAGTGGTAGCTGTTGGAGGAGGCTGGGAGCTGAGCACCGGTTCCAGGAGCGGGCAGGTGAGCGCAGGAGAGCAGACGGCCAAAGGGAGAAGTGGTGTGGCGGGTGGACAGGAGATCTGGAGGTGCCTTGTTGTAACAGGTGAGAGTGCAGGTTGACGAGCTGGTAACAGGCAGATGATGAGAGTACCTGGGCGGGAGAATGGAGGAACGGGACAGGTGATGACGAGGCTTTAACAGGCAGAACAGGATGCAAACAACTAGAAACAGGTCTAGCGCTGGTGTATACTACCCAATGTGAGTAATTATCCGGCACTGGTGAGTTGTCACACCGCTCCTTAAATCCCCTGTGAGCTGATGAGAGAATTCGCAGCAGCTGCTCTCCGGGCGCGCCCACCTGCAAACAGGAAAACTCATGGAGAGGTTGGCTACACCCATTGTGACAGCTGCAGGGATGCATGTTCCTTCTGTGACTAGACACAAGAGGCCTGGAACCGTATCTATTATATGCACTGGAACTGTGAGTACCTTAAAAACTGTAAAGAGTGTAGTGAGTGTGTTCGCCACTAAATTTGCCCCAGAAGTTGATGCAGAAACACTCTCATTGTATCTTAAAGAGAAACTTAACAGAGACGTCACCTGTTTAAAAATTGTTAATTTACGGAGCAGGTTTGGCTCTTTTAAGTTTACGGCTGTGTGTGATGACATCGGTGAAATGTATAACCCTGAGCTTTGGCCTGAAGGGGCTCTGGTCCGGCGGTATTATGAACCACGGAACCCCCGCTCTCTCCGCTCTTCTAATGTGACTCCAGCAGGGGAGGTTCCCCCTGGTCCAAGCACCTCAGCATAAGCATGTCTCTTCGGGTGCTGTCCTATAATTGTCGTGGCCTGCGTCTGGGCCAGGATGCAGGGGATAGAGCTCGACGTATTGTTGTGGACAGTTTGCTTGAAGAATGTGAAACATTGTGTTTACAGGAGACTTTTCTGCCTAAACAAGACCTAGAAAAACGTAACCACCTCAATTCTAAATTTTTCAGAGTGAGGGAATCAACTACTGATCTCAGCACAGCTATAGTCAGGGGCAGAATATCAGGAGGAGTGGCTGTGCTTTGGAACAAAACAATTGATGCTGTAATTAATCCACTTAGACTGGATGTAGGTTGGTGTATTGGCATATACAATATATCCAGAATAACATTCGTTTTGTTATCCTTAATATGTATACTCCATATGAAACTGGTAGAAATGAAGGGGGATATCTAGGTAGGTTGGCATTTATTAATGCATTTATTCAAAGCCACAGTACTTATAGTATATATGTTGTGGATGACTTTAATGCTGATCTTTCAGATAAAAAATCTCCGTTTGCTAAACACTTAACACAGTTGTGTGAAGACAATGATCTTATTCTATCTAGCAAAGTGTTGTTGCCAAAAGACAGTTACACATATATTAGTGAGGCTTGGCATAATACATCATGGCTGGATCATTGTATTAGTACAGCTGATGGGCATGCAGCTTTGGATAGCATGACTATAAAATATGGGGTATCTGTGTCAGATCATATACTTTTTGCTTTCTCTATAAATGTGGAACAACTGCCTGATACAATGGGAGTTAATTATGTCGACAATGATAATACTATAAAATTAGAATGGGCAGCATTTAGTGACAAAGACATATTGTCTTATAGTAATAATACAGATCAATACCTAAACAATATCTCTGTGGCTAAAGAGGCTATCCTGTGTAAAGATGTCAATTGTAAGAATCTCAAACATAAAAGTGAACTCTGCCCTATGTATGATGATTTAGTGGACGCTTTGTATGAAAGTGGTAAGCCATTTCATGTCAAAGGTAAGCATAAGCAGAAACCTCATATCAGGCCTGGCTGGAAGGAACATGTTGCCACGGGTAGCTTTTAAACTTTGGGATATGATTGGGAGACCTAAGCAAGGTCTGGAATTTGAACAGAAAAACGTGCAAAGGCCAGATATAAGTATGCTGTTCGTTTTATATCAAAAATGAGCAGATCATGAGGGCAGATCCAGTGGCCAGAAAATTTATGAGTAATGATGTCAAAGGTTTTTGGAAAGATGTGAAAACAATAATTGCAAATCATCTCTACCAGGTACTGCTGAAGGTGTTTCTGGGGAAGATAATATTGCAGCATTATGGAGACATCATTATTATGCATTGTTTAATTGTTTAAAAAGTGATCGGTATGAGGATGGCTCTGTTGTTAATTATGAATCTATTTGTTTAATGACCCATGAGGTGCATGAAGCTATTCACAAACTAGCTGATGATAATGGGCCATTCCCATCTGTACCGGGTCGGCCCGGGCCGGGTAGCGTAGGTTGTTTACATATCTGGGTGGCCTGGTATTTTTCCGGGCCAACCAAGGCTCATTCTCAGCCCTCTTCTCGAGGGGGTCTGCTTCAGGCCGACCAGGGCCAACACACCCAAATTCACACCTTCCATTAGAGCAAGCCTCTGATTGGTGGGTAGAATCGGCCCACATGGGCTTAAGGCAAGGATGTGTGGAATCAACTGGGCCAGGCTGAGGCCGACTGGGGCTACCCGGCCCGGGCCGACCCGATACAGATGGGAATGGCCCATAAGGCTTGTGGTCTGGATCACATTAGTGCAGAACATTTGACATATGCTAGCCAAAGACTAGCTCCCCTTTTAGCTCTTTGTTTTACAGGGTTTATGATTCATGGCAAACTACCAGACTCAATGATGGCAATTCTGCTTGTTATTAAGAACAAATCTGGGAAGGTGACCAGTATGGATAATTATAGGCCGATTGCACTAGCCAGTGTTTTATCTAAAGTTTTAGAACGAATCATATTTGATAGAATCACTGTGTACCTCAGTTCCTTGGATAATCAGTTTGGCTTTAAGCCAAAACATGGTACTGACATGTGTATATACGCACTTAAAGAAATGGTCAACTGGTACAGAAATAGAAATTCTTCTGTCCTTATGTGTTTTATTGATGCCTCTAAGGCTTTTGATCGTGTAAACCACAGAAAACTTTTTATTAAGTTAAAGCTACGGGGGGTCCCTGGGTTTATTGTGAGAATCCTGTCTTACTGGTATGCTCATCAGATGATACAGGTTAAATGGGGTGCCAGCATCTCTGCACCATTTGGTGTTAGTAATGGTGTTAGGCAGGGTGGAATTTTGTCTCCTGTTTTATTTAATCTGTATGTTGACGATCTGTCTGTGCAGCTGAGATCCTGTAACACAGGATGTTTGATGGGTACAACTTTGATCAACCATCTGATGTATGCTGATGACCCGATGGTCTTCAGTCCAAGTAGTGCTGGTTTACAGCAGCTCCTAAATATCTGTTCTGAATATGGTGTGCAGTACGATATTCAGTATAATGCTGTTAAAAGTGCTATCTTGATATGTAGAACCAAGCAGGATAAAAAGCTAAACTTTCCTGTGTTCAAACTGTCTAATAGTGATCTTAATGTGTGTGAGAAGGTGAAATACCTTGGCCACTTTATAACCGATCAAATGCGTGATGATGCTGACATCCACAGACAGTGCTGTAAGCTGTATGCACAGGCTAATACTATAACACGTACGTTTAGTTTTTGTTCACCTCCAGTTAAGGTGGCTTTATTTAAAGCATATTGTACTCCGCTCTACACAGCCCAACTGTGGTCATCCTACAATCAAAGCAGCATGAATAAGCTGCAAGTTGCATACAACGATGCCTTAAGAATCATACTCAAAATACCCAGAGGGGGCAGTGCCAGTCAGATGTTTGTAACGGCAGGCATTTGCACTTTTAAAGCTATTTTAAGAAAACTAGTATTCACTTTTAGAGAACGACTGGATAGCTCTGCCAACAGTATAATTTCAGCAATCACTGATCCTGCTGTGAGCAGTTGTCACTATTTGTCCAGTATAAGGAAACACTGGTTGAAAAGTTTGTGTGGTTACTCTCAATTGTGTGGAACATCTTTATAGTAAGTTTTTAAAACAGACTTAGATTTTTATTTAATTTTATGCTTTCATCTTTTTTATTTGTTCTATTTGTTTTTACCTATTTAGTTTCATTAATTGTTTTTAGTGTTTTGTTGTTTTCTATATATTTTATCTGGACCTAAGACCATCTATCTATCTATCTATCTATCTATCTATCTATCTATCTATCTATCTATCTATCTATCTATCTATCTATCTATCTATCTATCTATCTATCTATCTATCTATCTATCTATCTATCATCTATCATCTATCATCTATCTATCTATCTATCTATCTATCTATCTATCTATCTATCTATCTATCTATCTATCTATCTATCTATCTATCTATCTATCTATCTATCTATCTATCTATCTATCTATCTATCTATCTATCTATCTATCTATCTATCTATCTAACACACCATATAACTATGAAGAAAATGACAGGATAGGTGGGAGATCTTACATATGTGGTGGCTGACTGAATAGCTTTGTCCCACTGTTGTTGTAGGAGACTATTTCATGTTCAGCCTGCATGAAAAACTCAGAGTGATCCATTAAAATCAGAAAAAAACCATTATAAATGGTTTATCAGTGAACCACATCTTTAAAAAATCCAGATTTTAAGCTTGGAAAAAAAAAACAGAACAGCCCTACTTCCTACATGAGACCGGACTCAACCACAACCATCAGACAGATTTTGTTTTATGGAAATATTTGATTAAATGTTAAGGACCTCCTCTGTGGTTCTGACAGACGAGTGTCATTATCAGTCGGGTCCGTCACGCTCTGCCGCTCACAGAGAGAGGAGGAGGAGGGTCTCCTCTGGGATGAAGTCCAACCAGGGAAGGCCCTCAGAGCCCCCAGGGCCCAACATGAAGGAACTATGGGTCACCCGTACACTAGCATGCACATGACCAATGGCCTGCAGGAGCACGCATGTGAGCATCACTCCGACAACAAAAAGCTATTAGAAGATATGAGCAACGTGTTGTAGAACAGTAACTGGAAACAGCAAACATCATGAGCAACAAACAAGATAAACAACAAACAAGGAAACAACAAACATGATAAACAACAAACAAGGAAACAGCAAACATGGTAAACAACAAACAAGAAAAACAACAAACAATATTAAAAACAATACAGTCAGATTTTAACTTTAAATCCTCCAACACACTCTGGATTAGAAGCACCATGTCTTCAGTAAAATGTTTGACTTCTGTTACAAAGTGGTGAGATGAACAGAGAAGCTCACAAACTGTGAGCTTCCTGTCAGGTGACCTGGGGACCAGGAGAGTACACCTGTAAGTCATCCAGCCTGTTCTTCAGACACCCAGGCCGGATGGTCCAGAACGTGCTGTAGGAGTCAAAGGGCATAGTTTGGTCATGAGTCTGTCCAAGAATGTGAAGGCCTCCTGCAGGAACCACACACTGCAGGAGGCCTTCAGCTGCTCAGACTTGGGTTCTGAGGTGTTCCAGTCCCAGACTCTCCCTGTGAGAGGTCAGAAAATGAGTCAGTCAGGCCCGGTTCTACACCAGCGGGGCTGGTGGAGGTGGTCAGGCCTGGATCTACCCCAGCAGGGCAGGATGAGTCTAATTAAAGCAGCAGCTGTGAGGACTCTGGGCCCGGCTGTAAATGATAGCAGTAATTGGAGCTGCAGACACTCGCTGCCACCAGCCTGCTTTGTTGCTGGTGCTGCTCCATTGTTCACCTTCAGTAACCGTAACAATAGTCTGGCCACGCGCCCCGACCCCCTACCCCGACCGCCCAGTCCACTCAGAACCCCTCAGTGGCCCACTAATTATGCATAAATGCACATTTATGCAAATAGATTAACCTAGTTCAGAGGAGTAAACAGCTCCGGGTCGGGATTAAACTTTTTAAATTAGTGTCTGGAAGTCTGGACAATGTACTCTTATAGGACCCCCCCCCCACCCTCATTTACATTTATAATCTGTAAAGTGTGTGAGGCCACGCCAGAGAAAGCTCTAATGGCTAATGATTAGAAGGTTTCAATCTGGACAGAGGCGGAGTGTGTCTGACCCGGTTCTTATACGGGCCGGGCAGCAGGCGTCAGGACGCGTGCCACCCGCACCACCCTTCTTCCAATTGGAACGCTCCTCCTCTTCCTCCTCAGTCCTCAATTTCCTGTTAGCTGGGTGGGGTGGGTGGGTGGGTTCCAGGGAACAGGAAGTTAAACCTTTATCTGCACTAAAGGTCACTTCCTGTTTGCTTTAAAAGCTTAAGATGGTTCCTGATGACACAACCCCCCACCCACACGCGCGCACACACACACACACACACACACACACACACAGGTCGAGTGTGTGTGTGTGTCTGTACGTGCATGTGTGTGTATCTGTGTGTGTGACTGTACGTGTGTGAGTGTGTGTGTGTGTGTGTGTGTGTGAGTGCGTGTGTGTGTGTGTGTGTGTGTGTGTGTGTGTGTGTGTGTGTGTGTGTGTGTGTGAGTGCGTGTGTGTGTGTGTGAGTGTGTGTGTGTGTGTGTTAATAAGAGGAAAGTGTGTCAGGATTAACACATTGAGGCTAAGAACAGATTGGAGGAACAAAGAAAAATCGGTTTAAAATCATAAATATTAAATTACAGCTAAAGACCTTTAGAGTGAGGTGATGAAGACTAGCAGGCTGAAGGGATGAAGCTCTATTACGTCTCTGGGTTTCGTTCCATTCTCCATGCTCATAAAGCAGGAACCAATGATTGAACGGGCCAGAACCAGAACTGAGGACTGATAATGACTGCGACCCAGACACCGAGGGTCTCAGCCTAAGGCTCAGTGGGAAATCATCTAAAGAACCTGGCTGCCCAGTAGATTGAGCTCTGGACTCTTTCAGTGGTTCTGAAGGACTTCAGGAACTGATCCACCAGAGAGCGGAGCCCAGATCTGAGAGCTACTTCTGGGAGTGTTTGTGTTTTTAACTGGACAGGTGTAACGGGTTGTAACTGGTTACTTTTAATAAAATAGTCAATAGAATATTCAACAAAATGTAATATTCCATAAAAATATGGATCATCAATATTATTGAACCTTTAATGTTGGATTGATGATGAAACTAGGTACTTTGGTTAATCCAGGGAAACAACACTTTATAATAATTAGACTCTGAGACAAAAATATAGTTTATAAAATCTATTTATCACTAGAGTAATGATGATGAAAGGTAAATGATTATAAATGGTGGCTCAGTGATGTTAAATGAGACAATGAATGAACTCTAACGAAACATGACCTGGTGTGTTTAAGAGTTTTCTAAGTGACTCAGAAAGGTGTGATGTCTGGTTTATAACATACATTTGGATGTTTGATGGATGTAATTTAACAAGTTATCAGATTTATATCAACCACTCTGACATCATTTTTTAGTCTACACACCCTAGACCATGGAAGCTCTGGAGATCCGGTCTGCAGGTGAAGCCGTCTCTCAGAGCGAGTGAATGGACTTCTGATGTATCTGAAGGTCGTAGACACCCTCAGCATACGCACGACTGGTGCACCTGGGAAGTATCTTCTGACCAGTCGTCCACCAGAAGCCATGGCCATGGGATCTGAGGGAAGACAGCTCATCCTGATGGTGATGGTTGGAGGGAAAACCCAGAAATCGTAACGCCCCCCACCCCCCCCCCCTTTAAAGAAAAGAAAGGAAGTTAAAATTAACCTCACCTTCTTTTAACAGAGAAGAGGTAACCCAACAAAACAGTGGAAGAGACCCCTACTAACCGCCTAACTGAAACTACGTGAACTAAACCTAGTCTTCATGCGAGCTGCAGGCGGGCAGATTAAGCACATGCGAGAAAACCTGCATCAAAACCAGCAAAGAGAGGGGTGGCCTAGGAACAAGCCTGTCCCAACTCTTCCAGGGGTGCTCCCGAGATGGTGAGAAACACCAACACTGACCCACTTGTTGCAACATTAAAACATAACCAGATTAATCCCAAAGCGGAAAGATCTCTAAAAACCTGTCAAGGGGAGCTCAACACACTGAAACCTGTAGGCCCGGGTGGAGGTACTGGGGAGGAAATGACCGGGATAAACAGTCAGTGATCACGTTGTCAGATCCCTTTTTGTGTTTGACGTCTAGTTCGAAGTCTTGTAGAAACAGAGCCCATCCCATCAGTCAGTGATTCTTGTTGTACATCCTGGATAAAAACACTTGGGGATTATGATCAGTGTAAACCAATAAAGGGTGTCCAGTACTCACGTAAACTTCAAAATGTTGCAGTGCTAGAATTAATGCCAATGCCTCTTTCTCAACTGTGGAATAGTTCAGTTGATGAGAGGTGAACTTCCTGGAGTGGTAGGTCACGGGATGGCTGATTTTGGCAGCGTCCTCCTGGAGTAGGACGGCTCCCATCCCCACATCACTTGCATCCACTGCTAACTGAAAGGCCTTGGAAAGGTCAGGAGCCAAGAGAACCGGGGCACTCCTCAGCAGAGGCTTACAGCTGTCAAAGGTTGTCTGGGCAGCATCTGTCCATGCGAAATTCTTGCAGAAGCATCGATAGTAGCCTGTGTAGAGTTAATTCTGCACACTGGAATCACCTCTGTGCTATTCACTGGAGGTTCCGAAAATTACCAATCAAATTAACCTATGAAGCTTACATCATAAATATAAATATCCCGGATACTTATTTATCGATCTAAGTTCATACATCAACCTGTTTGATCTAATTTTAATCCAAAGATTAATGTTTAATTTAGATAATTAAATTTAATAGCAAAATTAAATCAGAAGCTAGGATCTTTGCTTTCAAATAACCAGAAATATTACCTTTTCTGTGTTTCGTTTCAATAATGAGGCAAGTTTAAAAATGAAGAAGTTTTATTACTAACAATTTTAAACTAAGGATTTGAAACGACAATTATAGAATGACAATTCATGGATGGCAATTTTAATGACAATCTTTAACAGCTTTGATATTAAACTTATTTAAAATCAAACCTGTGACTGAATGGAGCTAAAATGAGAACGATGAGTTTTGGATGCGTGAATGAAGTTCTCAGAAGGTGTCTTCAGAGAGAATGAAAGCGTTCTGGGTGGAAATGATGGTTTGCGGATAACTGAGTTATTTAGAGAAAAACAGCATCAAACGCATTCAGTCGAGGTCTACCTCACCCAATCAGAAGACCCCCGTTTGGATCCGAAGTGTCCAGGTGGAGATGGGTTTCCTCAGCACGAGGTTGGTAGAAAAACCTCTAGCACGACCAGATCGGTCCTGAGATGTCTTCTTGGGTCACTCTGTGTATGAAGTGTTTGGCAGATGAACGTTCTCGTCTTTAACTTAACTTCAGAAATCAATGACTCTGGTAGAGTCTTTCGTTAGCTGGTTTACGGTTCCATTTATTCTTTTGCAATTCTTGTCGGCATGACATAACAGCTTGGCAGAGGGTCAGGGCAGCCGTCCCGTCTCCTCAGGCTGATGTTGGTTTCAGAACTGAACGTGAATCTGTGATGGTTAGCTTTACCAAAAGCTCTCAGAACCACTCCCACTCTCTCCGGAGGAGAGAGGAAGAAGAAGAAGAAGAGAAGAAGAAGAAGAAGGAAGAAGAAGAAGAAGAAGAAGAAGAAGAAGAAGAAGAAGAAGAAGAAGAAGATGAAGAAGAAGAAGAAGAAGAAGAAGAAGAAGAAGAAGAAGAAGAAGAAGAAGAGAAGAAGAAGAAGAAGAAGAAGAAGAAGAAGAAGAAGAAGAAGAAGAAGAAGGAAGAAGAAGAAGAAGAAGAAGAAGAAGAAGAAGAAGAAGAAGAAGAAGAAGAAGAGAAGAAAGAAGAAGAAGAAGAAGAAGAAGAAGAAGAAGAAGAAGAAGAAGAAGAAGAAGAAGAAGAAGAAGAAGAAGAAGAAGAAGAAGAAGAAGAAGAAGAAGAAGAAGAAGAAGAAGAAGAAGAAAGAAGAAGAAGAAGAAGAAGAAGAAGAAGAAGAAGAGAGAAGAAGAAGAAGAAGAAGAAGAAGAAGAAGAAGAAGAAGAAGAAGAAGAAGAAGAAGAAGAAGAAGAAGAAGAAGAAGAAGAAAAGAAGAAGAAGAAGAAGAAGAAGAAGAAGAAGAAGAAGAAGAAGAAGAAGAAGAAGAAGAAGAAGAAGAAGAAGAAGAAGAAGAAGAAGAAGAAGAAGAAGAAGAAGAAAGAAGAAGAAGAAGAAGAAGAAGAAGAAGAAGAAATAATCATTTCTATAGTCCCTCTCAAGATAAAAATCATTAGGCGCTTCACAAAAACAAAAAAATAAAAAAATGTAAAAATATAAAAAAGCATTTATAAAATGTTTAAAAATATATTTAAAATGAGCAAAAATTGAAAGCTTGCTCATGCGTCAAAAACATGTGATGCAGTTATTGTTTATCTGAACTCTGTGTTAGCTGGATAGGGTGACTTGGCCTTGTTGCTAAACACATCTTTAATCTTTATAATAATTATTATTATTACCCAAAGCATAATAATCCATTTCATGTAATTAAAATACCTTTATAATGAGCCAAGTGATCATGTTATGATGATTATATCAAACAGTAATAAAATCAATGCGTTCATTAATTATTATCTAATTATTATCATCGTGGCTTGAAGTGTCCTTCTTGGGACGGAACAGCAGATATGATGTTATGATCTTGAGCAGACATCATGGCTCCTTGGGTTAATCTGTGGATTCAAAAAGTACTGTTTGACCCAGCTTGCCCCAGCTGGGCAAATGTGACCTTTGCCACACATCAGAGAGCCTTCATCACGCTACACCTGCCATTCCAAGGAAGCGTCTAAGTTCTCTCTAAGCAGTTGGACGAGGGAACTCCTAAATGACTTTGACTTTGTCTTGGCTCATTCTTACATACCTGTGACCTACGGTTTTTCCTAAGTAAGTCACTGTGGCCTTCACAAACTCGCTTTTGGCAAGGTTGGCGGTTAGCTGGGCCTTAGCTAACCGGTCAAAAAGTTCTTTTAAAACAGAAACATGGTCGTTCCAGGAGGAAGCGTGAATAACAATACCGTCAAGGTAAGTGCTACATGATGGAAGATCAGCTGTGACCAGATTTATTAAACACTAAAACGTGGCGGGAGTGTTTCATATACCAAAAGGCATGACCGTATATTGCAAAAAGGAATCTGGCGTGACGAACGCGAAGATCTCCGAGGCAGTTGGAGTTAATGGAACCTGCTAATATCCTTTAAGCAGGTCTATCTTAGAGACATATTGGGATTTACCAACCCTATCTACACAGCCATCTATTCTCGGCAAAGGGAATGCGTCAGGTACAGTAACACGATTAACTTTTCTGTAGTCAGTTATAAACCGAGAGGTGCCATCAGGTTTACTTTCAATAAAGCACGGGGAACTCCATGGGCTATGACTAGGAACAGCTAAACCGTTTTCCAACAAACACCGTGTCTCTTGCTTTAACAACTCTCGTTTAAGGGGGGTTTTTCGGTAAGGATGTTTTGTAGATTTGGCACTCTGAACGTTCACATCATGTTGGAGGATTGTGGTGCGGGAGGACGCATCACCAAACAAACAGGAGTATCGGTGAATGAGTGGGATTAACTCTGCTTTCTGCTCATCTGTGAGGTGATCAAGACTCTGTTCCAGCTGCAACAGAGCCTGTGAGTTCCCTAGCCTGGGACTTATACAGATGGCTGACCGTGGATGGACAGCTTCATCAAAATCCAACATGACGGCAGCGGTTGCACATACCGTGGCATCACTGGAAGGATCTGAACAGTTCTAAGAAGGCAGATATAACTTTAACATTTTAATGTTACAAGTACGACTTTTCCGGCGGCGGTTAGGAGTGGCTATAAAGTAGGTGGTGCCATTCAACCTTTCTATGACAGTGTAAGGTCCCTCAAACTTTGCTGAGAGCTCATGAGTAGCAACAGCATTCATTATAAGAACTGAATCTCCTGGGGTGAAGACACATCTCTCAGCATAACAGTCAAAATCAGATTTCATTTTCTTTTGTGCTCTGCTTAACAGCTCACGAGCTATTTCATTAGCCTCTCGTAACCTTGTTTGGAACGTACTTACAAAACGATTAATGTTTGTTTCTTTGACGTGGATGTGGACTTAAACCGCTCCTTCAAAGCCTGGAGGGGTCCTCGGGGAGTATAGCCAAACACCAGCTGTGCTGGGCTAAACCCCAAAGACTCCTGCTGAGCTTCAAGGGAAGCAAACACCAGAAATAGAACCCCTTCATCCCATTGATTTCCCGTTGTTTAGCTATACTTTTTGAGCACGGTTTTGAAAGTCTGATGCCACCTTTCAAGGGCACCTTGGCTCTCAGGATGGTAGGCAGACGGCATCACATGTTGTATTCCCAAGGTCTGGGTGACACCACGAAAAAGGTGTGACTTGAAGTTGGAACCCTGATCTGTTTGGATTACTCGAGGTAACCCCACAAAGGAAAAGAAGTTAACCAATGCCTTAGTCACAGATTTAGCTGTATTAGAGGAAAGCGGAATGGCTTCTGGGAAACGGGTAGCAGTGCACATGATTGTCAATAAAAATCTTTTTCCTGATTTTAGTTCTGGGCAAAGGGCCAACTCAATCTACTATGACATGGTCAAAGGGGTTTCCTATCACTGGAATGGGCCTGAGTGGGGCAGGCGCTTGCTTCTGGTTTGGTTTGCCCCCTACCTGACACACATGACAACGTCCACAAAACTGGACCACACTCTGCTTGAGTCGTGTCCAGAAAAAAAATTCTAAGATCAGGTAGTAGGTTTTCCGAATACCCAAATGGCCAGACCACTGACTTTCATGGGCCAGAGACAAAATCTGAGCCCTATATTTTTGAGGAACTACAATCTGGTTGACCATCCCTCATGGGGCATCTATAGCAAACGGATTCCTCCAGATTCTCATTAAAATGTTATTTTCAAAAACGTATCTGGGTTTTCCATCCACATGTTTATTTACCTCATAAAAGCACTTCGTTAAAGAGTCATCCAGTGTTTGTGCCTTTTCTAAGGAAGCATAAGTTAAAGGCAACTTGTCAGAGGAGAAAGAAGCTTTTCTCTCCTCTGGTCCAAAAGGAGGAGGCACCGGTAGGTGAGAACCGGTCAGGGCTGGCTGAGGATTTTCAAACAAACTAGCTAACCCCAGGGTTTTGTTAGCCTCCTTTTTAGCGTGGGCTCGGGTGATTACACAATCTAAATGGATTCCAATGGGAGCGTCTACACACGTCTCAGTCTAACCCTAACCCATGGATTAATCTGTTAAACATGTATAATACACTGATATTATTATGTGAATGTAACTGTTACATTACAGCGGACTAATAACCAGCACTACACATGCGTAGCTGGGCTATGACCATATTGGCCTGTCGTCCACACGAGTAAAGAGAAACAGCACCAAAACAGTTCTTTCAAATTCCTCTAACCAAAAGGGAGTTTTGATTTTAGCCCGTGGCAAGAATGCTCTGACATAACTGTCCCCCCCACTTTTTCAAAAGGCAGTTTGGATCCTGCTGTTTTCACCATTATGCTGTGGAAGAGGTAAGTCCATCAGGCACTAGGAGCTGGAGCCCGGTACTATAAGCTCTTCGATTGGCTCCAAAGTTTCTTGCTAACGTGTAACTGGCCGTCCCCAGCACTGTTACTCTATCTGGTCTTGTCTGGACCTGCTACATTTTGATGTTTGTCTCACCCTATGGACATCATCAAACCAGACTTGGAGAAAGAAATGGCTGTGAGTTTGGTGAGCTTCACATCCTTATTCCAGGATGACATAGGGAGCATTAAAGGTGGAGAAAACCATCTTAAATCTGGTCATGTGGTCAGTAGCAGCTACGCTAGGGGAGGAGATTCTGCTGTGATGTCATACATGACACGTCTGATTTGTGGTTGTTTTATTCATGAATTTTTACAAACGAATGAATCTCAGATCACGTGACAGACATTCAAAACTCTTATCATTATTTATCATTTAAACTGAAGTACTGCTGGCTGCTGTTTGTGCTACTTGTTTAACTTTATTAACTTTCAAACAAACAATTATTTGACAAAGTTTACATTCATTGATGATGTAAATAAAATTGATCAGTAAAAGAGGAAATGATAAAATGTTGCTTCTAATATTGAAGATTAGATTTTCTCTTCCTGGACTGTGGGTGATACCCTTCAATGAACTTCTCACACACAAAGTGTGTGTGAAGAATGCAAAAGGGGCGTGGTCAACTTCCACACTACAGGATTGGGACATGCAATGCACTCACACCCTTGGACAGAAACACACATTTAGAAAAGAACAAGGGTGGAAGTGTGAGTATTGGGAAAAGGCCAGAGTAGAGAGTCTTACTTCCTGATATGTGGACATCTCTTCTCTGATTGGCTAACAGCAGTTGCTAATGCTACCGGTTAGCTTCAACTAGCAGAGACATTCTGCTGTTTCCTGGACGCTAACCCAACAACAGCCTTCCCCGTCGTGAGTCCAGATGGGTGAGTCCATGAATGTTAAGTGACAGTGTGACGTAGATCTGTCAGCATTTTCTAATCATAGAGTTTCACCGTCTGTTTTCTATCAGAAGCTAGTGCAGGAGATAGGTGTAGGAGACTATTTTCTATCAGAAGCTACTGCTGGAGATAGGTGTAGGAGACTATTTTCACGATCAGCCTGTATGAAAACTCAGTGACCGTTAGAATCAGAAGTAATTATTAGAATGTGGTTTTTCAGTGTTCCACACCTTTAAGCTGGTTCTGCTCTGTGTTATCAGTCCTCTGGCTCATCCCTTGGTTAAAGAACCTTTTCCATATTTTTTCTGAAGAACAATAAATGAAATAGGACTTGTTTGAGTGCGTTTATTAAAATCTAGTAATTTGATATTTCTCCCTGAAAAGTTGATTTTCCACGATAATCAGATTTTTATTTGAGCCTATTAGTTTATCTAGTTACTTCTGGTGAAATCAGGTAAACTATCAAACTAACCAGAAGTTTAAGTCTAACATTTCAAACTGGACTATAAAAGTTTCAGACTTCATGTTTAAAGACTGATCAGATTACTGATTAATGGCTGAGTGTTGATCAGTGTTGATTGGCATTGCAGCGGTTTGTGTAGCAGCAGGTCCAGCCGAGCCGGGAGCAGTTCTCTAGCCGGGTGCAGCCTTTCTCTCCAGTGTCTGCAGAAAGGAAATAGATCAAACCCGCTGCAGTAAAAGCTTCTAAACTTGATCTGATAACCAAAACTTTAAAGCACAAATATCAAAGACTGTGTGTGTGTGTGTGTGTGTGTGTGTGTGTGTGTGTGTGTGTGTGTGTGTGTGTGTGTGTGTGTGTGTGTGTGTGTGTGTGTGTGTGTGTGTGTGTGTGTGTGTGTGTGTGTGTGTGTGTGTGTGTGTGTGTGTGAAGCTCACCCCGCGTGTAGCAGGCCTGTCTGACTTTACCAGAACACTGTAACAACAGGTTGTTGACCATCAGGAAGTCTTCACCAAAGCATTCGATGTGAAACTGATTAGCTGCAACAGAAAACACACACAGGGTCTAAAGCAGAGTGCCGGTCCAACAGAGGTCTCCAAAACTTTAAGCTATTCTTTAAAAAGTGGGTTTCAGAGATTCTGGACATAGAAAACGGACCAACTTCAGAGTGTACAGCAGTCTGCTAAATAGAAATTTAATTTACCAATTTTGTAGGACAGGTGCCCTGGGGGGTGGGGGGTGTGACAGGAGGGTTTACTCTGCCAATAATAGCTAATGTAAAAGCTAGCAGTTAGCTTTTTCAGGTCAAGGAGGGAACGGGAGATCAGCAGGAGGATTGGGGCAGCGTCTGCAGTGATGCGGACGCCGAACCGGTCTGTTGTGGTGAAGAAGGAGCTGAGCCAGAAAGCAAGGCTCTGCATTTACCAGTCGATCTACTGACCAGTCCTCACCTTTGGTCACGAGCTTTAGGTAATGACCGAAAGAACAAGATTGCGGATACAAACGGCCGAAATAAGTTTTCTCCTCGGGCTGGCTGGGCTCAGCCTTAGGGATAGGAGCTTGGACATTTGGGAGACTCGGAGTAGAGCCGCTTTTCCTCCATATTGAGAGGAGTCAGTTGAAGTGGTTTGGGCATCTTGTTAGGATGCCTCCTGGATGCCTCTCCAGGGAGGTGTTTCAGGCATGTCCTGCCGGCAGGAGGCCTCCTGGTTGACCCAGGACAGGTTGGAGAAAGTACATCTCCGATTTGGCCCAGGAACTCCTTGAGGTCCTTCCAGAGAAGCTGGTGGAGGTGGCCGGGGAGAGGATGGTCTCGAACTCTCTAGTTGGGATGCTACCCCCGCGATCTGGACCCGGATAGGCATAGGAAGATGAGACGAGGTCACTGACCATCAGGCCCGGAGTGGCTAATCGGGAGGGTCTGGAGAATTCCCGGTGGGCTGCGCGATGTTTGGGCCGGTGCTCTCGTTTTTGTTTTTTATCATTTTATTTTTATTTTTTGGTGCCGGTGTTCAGTCATGGCACTGAGGCCGCCGGGCTGATCACCCGGCTGTCTCTACCTGCAGGCTGCAGCTCGTTTTTTTCCCCAGTATGCGCCTGTGCGCCCCACGTGACCACGCAGTTGACGGAAAGATGGAAAGTAGAAAGAGCAAGGGTGTTGGGAGAAGGCAAGAATTAAAAAGAGGAAAGCGCCGGAAACAGATGCAGCTAAATGTGCAAAAATGAGCACCTTTTTTTCTCAAACAAGCTTGCGGTCTTTAACTTCAAATGAAGATAAAACGGGTAAGGCAAGTCAAGATGTTGAACTTTACCGGCTGCAAATCACCATTCAAGTTAATTAAGCATCAATAATGAATTATATGGCATCATGACATAACGTTATGTAATATAATTAACAGTATGATGTGACTGATGCCACCAAACTGTCTTGTAGCCCACAAGATCCAGTAGGCCTAATAAGCACCAGGCAGAAGCCCACAATTCCAGAGCGGGCATGTACAGGTAGGATTACTTATTGAGTCAGTGAACTGAATATTATTAAAATTTATATGATGAAAACTATCCTGGCTCTATATGAAAGTGTCCTAAAATGCTAGATGATTCAGCATTGATCAGAAAGCATGCAAAAAAGGAAAATGAATGCTGAATTGTGACCATTTTCACACAATGTAGTGTCAGAAGAAGAGCCAGGAGCCAGCAGTGAGGGTATTGCTCCTGTTGGGATAGAAGGTGAGCCAACTCATGTGCAAACAAGCAAACATCAGTTTCATTATAATAATTTTAATGTCCAAATAATAGTAGTGACCTGATGTATTTTTATTAGTAAATGCACAAAGCCCACAACAGATCGCTATTAGAATGAAAGTAAAATTAAATAAGCCTGCATATTTTGCCATAGAAAATATTTTAATTGGTTACAAAAATGTGTTTTCCATATCAAATGTGCTAAAGCTTTACAGATGGTTATTTTAATTGTGTGCAGGTGAGTCTAGGGAAACTGGAAAAAGTGTGAAAGGGAGTGCTGAGTCATTTCATTTTAAAGGTTTGAAAATATCAGAACAGCTGTTTGAACAGAATGTAGATTGTTATATTGTTAGAGAATGTGTTGTAAAGAACAATGTTGGAGATGTGCACTGATGTTCAAATAAACCTACATTGTAAAGCAACTCTTTCTTGCACTGAATTACAAGGCTTTACCGAGTAGTGTGCTTTTGTAGACTATACATATAAAGTTCTAACATGATTTTAATAATAATTTGTTAAGTGGGCCGGTCTGGGGTCTGAAACTCCAGGGCTGAAAATGTGTCCCACTCCGGCCCTGCTGACCATCGATACAAAGCACAAGAAGAATGAAAAGAGGACGTGTGCTTCTTTAGTTGGCATCATGGCAGAGCCTGGAAGTAAAAGCAAGAGTTATATGTTGGAGCTGAAGCAATCTTAAACCATCACTGCAGCCTACACTCATTTGACAGAACAAAAGAAGCTAGGCTACAAAATCTGATGATTACCTAGCTTTGTTGCTACAGGACTATTAAGAAATCGGAAGGTTGCAGGTTCGAGCCCCGCTCAGTCTGTCACCGTCGTTGTGTCCTTGGGCAAGACACAACCCACGTTGCCTGCTGGTGGTGGTCGGAGGGACTGGTGGCGCCAGTGCTCGGCAGCCTCGCCTCCGTCAGTGCGCCCCAGGGCAGCTGTGGCTACATCGTAGCTGATCCCCACCAGTGTATGAATGTGTGTGTGAATGGGTGAATGACTGATTGTGTTGTAAAGTGCCTTGGGGGGTTCCAGGACTCTAGAAGGTGCTATATTTCAGCCCGCTGCCTCAGGATGTCAGCGCTATAATCCTTGTAGAAATGAAGCTTGTGTCCACGGTAATCCACCGTCCCTCGCTTCCACTCCTCTCTCAATAGCAAGTCCTTAATTTGAAAGCGATGAAGGCGGAAAATCACTGGACGTGGACGTCCATCTAGACCCAGTTTTGCGGCAATACTGCAGTGGGCTCTATAAAGCTCTGGCGGGGATGATCTGGTTGCCAAATACCTCCACAAGAAGCTGGGGGAAAAGGCCATTGGTAGCAGATCTTCAAGCGATTCCAGTAAGCCAACAACTTGCAGATTCTGCCTCCTACTTCTCTCGTGATCAGAAAGTTTAGACTCCAGAAACATATCTTCCCGTAGGGTTGCGCATGCCATTTCGAGTTGCTCCAAGCATTGGCTGACTTCCTCAGCATTTGACAGACCATTGTCATGCTACATATTGTCTGAAAGAGGTACGGGAAAACTGTTGTCCTCACCGGGGTCCAGCTCATCAGACAGTGTCCTGGCCAGGCAGAGAAGCCTGTTTTCAAGTTTAAACTCCTCCATGTGTGGGACACTTAAAATGCAGTTGTTATGTTTTGTAAATCAGTTGGTGTCCAGGCCCGAAGAGGCTAATCGGGAGGGTCTGGACAATTCCCAGTGGGCTGGTCTGATGTTCGGGCCTCAAGGACCGATGTTGTCTCTTTTTTTTTTTTTGTACCAGTGTTCAGTCATCATGCCACTGGTTTGATCCCTCTATGCTGAAAGGGCCTCTCATGTCAGGTAACACAAAAACAAAAAAACCCTATTGTTTTAAAACTTGTCAGTATTTTTTTTTTCTTTTTGTGCCGGTGTCATGCCGATGAAGTTATCGTGCCACAATTTGTTCCCCCTGTGTCGGGAACACATACAGGTGTTATGTCAATTTTAGTTACCCCCCTCGAAATCTTTTTCGGCTCAAACAGCCAAAAAATGTGGGTCGTAACCCTTATCCTAGCCATAACCCTATAACAAACATTAAAATTGTCCCACACAGAGTATTTAATAAATTATGATTGTGCAGAACATACATTTTTGGTAATTTAGTGGATATGGTTAGAGTAGGTGGTGAGGGCTATTTTTTCGTGAGGGAGGAACTCAAATCGACACTGGCGCCCGACACAGGGGAAACAAATTCTGGCGGGGGTAACAACATTGGCACGACATCTGTGTTCAGTAATGGCTCTGGCTTTGATTACATACGCTGCTACCGTGGTGTCCACGGGCCACCTCTGCCTTTTATCCTGCAGCCGTTCCCTAACGCAACACTTCAGGTGACTCAGGATGGGAGAAGCTAGGATTCGAAAGAAGAAAACTCTAAAAGATGCCACTAAATGCGCAAAAACAGGCTTTTTTCAGTAAAACGTGCTGTTTGGGTTCATAACCCCAAAGTCAAGATCCAGCACCAAGCATCAGCAGGTAGGATTACTCACTGAGTGAATATATGGTGAAGACCTGCTCTATATTAAAGTGGTCTGGATGCTGGCTCTGAGCCCTGAAACCCCAGGGCTGAAAATGAGTCCCACTCCAGCCCGGCGTCTCTCTGTAGCAGGAATACACAGACACAGGTTGATGTAACGGTAGAAGAATAAGAGAGGGTAATACCCGGAACACACCAGCTGTGAAGCGCCGCAAAGTGGATCGCTCACGAAATTTGTGCGCTGTCCGCTCCTCCTCTGTTCACATCAGGTGAAAATATTCAACTTCTTCTCACGCCGTGACCTTGCTGTGTGTGTGTGTGTGTGTGTGTGTGTGTGTGTGTGTGTGTGTGTGTGTGTGTGTGTGTGTGTGTGTGTGTGTGTGTGTGTGTGTGTGTGTGTGTGTGTGTGTGTGTGTGTGTGTGTGTGTGTGTGTGTGTGTGTGTGTGTGTGTGTGTGTGTGTGTGTGTGTGTGTGTGTGTGTGTGTGTGTGTGCACGCGCGTGTGTGTTTGTTCAATTTCATCTCTCTAGTCTGTTTAGATACACAAAAATGATCACATTTATCAACGGGGGTGTTTTATTTGGAACATTTAACTTTGTTAACAATTTATTTATTGATTTTTTAACAACACAAAACAAGTAAACGACAGCGATACATTGATATTAACTTTATATTGAGTAACTTGATCCCCAAAATAAAATTAAAATTAAAATACAAAAATAATGAAAATGTACTATACTCCTACACATATATATACATATATACACACAGACACATGCATACGCATACACACATACATCCACAATGTATGTGTGTATGTGAAAGCAATGTGTCATATTAGTTTAACCTTGTCATCGTCACGTGTCTGAGTGTGTGAGCTGTCAGTAGATAGTGATTCATTTGTTGAATCTAACTTTACTGATCATAACATACTAATATTTCATTCATGTCAGTAATGTCTGAGGTGTTTTATTTAATACTCCTGGACAGGGTATGAATTACACAGAGGCTTCTGGGGGAGCCCAGTGATGGGGGGAGGGGGTTCGGTTAGCCCTGGCCCCCAAAATGCCTTAAAACAGCCATGGGTGCATGACTGAGTTTTGAAGGTGACCTGAATTGTATCAAATGTATACATATTGTGTGTTAATTATGTGATAGTGGTGGTACCACAGAGAGATGTGCCTTCAGCTCCCCCGTGATTCAAACCCTGCTCCTGGGTGAAAACCCAGACCCAATTTAGGAAATCCCGCAGACGCCACAGACAGACAGTGAAAAGTGGACGTGTCCAGGAAAAAGAGGATGTTTGGTCATCGTAAAACACACACACACACACACACTCTCACACACACACACACACACACACACACACACACACACACACACACACACACACACACACACACACACACACACACACACAGGTTCAAGTGTAATACCTGAGCAGAGAGGCATCAGCAGAACCAGAACCAGCAGCAGATGAAGCTTCATAGTCCTGCTTTTGAGTCCAGTCCAACAGAACGATTGTGAGATCTGAGCTGAAGCAGGACTTTTATCTCCTGCTAACACAAACAAACTGACATTACGACATGAAACCTCTGCACCTGTTTGTTGGTTTGAACTTTGCTCAGTGTCAGACTGAAGCTTGTTTGGTGTCTGAGGAGGATTCTGCTGAGCCACAGCTTAGCTTCTGGGTCCTCGTTCATTAGCCGTACTCACGAACAGATCTGTACGTAGGAACTAATGTACACATTGTGTGGTATTCCTCATGCTGTACCTGTGGGTGGGAAACACCTAAACATCAGAAAACTTCAGACCATGCGTAGGAACAGCGTCAAGAGGTAGAACGGAGGAACCACAACACCGAAGGTCTCAGTCATCCACACATGTTCCTCATCCACTAATTATTTTACCCATTAAATAAATATTATGGTGGAAAAACTGCTGAGTCACATGACTGGTGCTGAAACACCCGTCGGGAATCTGATGTTGTAGAATGGATGTCGTGTTTTTGTAATCACAATTTTACTCTTCCCATTTCTATTATGTTCTTAAACATTTTAAATTATTTTATTGTTATTTTATTATATTATCTTTGCATCCTTGTGAAACTCCTCGTGATTCTGCTCCAGACACCTTAGATAAAAGAACGTTTCTGTGTTATTATGAAGGATCTGTCAGAGCTCCTCTGGAGGAAACGCGTTTCCGTGAGCGCTGACAGCAGATCCGTCTGGAGCGATGCTGGGATTTGGGATCCTTCGTGGAGCGACAGATAATCCAATCCCAGTCCCTGTTCTACTTTACATCTACAAGAACCTCCAGCACCTCCTCTGCTCCCCATCACACACGCGTTGCCATGGTAACCAGACTGAATGACAGCTGAGAGGCTGCACTCAGACATTTCCTAATAAAACAAACCATCCAGAACAACTCCTTAAATGTAAATGAAAACCTGTTACTCCACGATTTATCAGATTAAAGTTTTTATTTATTTCTGAGGGAACCTCTCCTCTGTCCCAACCGCGTTTAGAACCTCAAACTCTCGTTTGGATTTTTTGTACCAATGTCTCCATCTCACAACAAAGATTTGTTTCTTTTTCCGAGCCCATGGAATCCCCCTCATGTGCTGAAGAGGCAGCGTGACCAAATATGGTTAAGGATGGTGATCGGACACGAGCACCTGGGTACGCACAGTTGTGATTCATCATCAGACGAGTGCTGAGGAACGTGCGTACGAGAGGTCACCGCACGTTTCAAAGATCAGGATTTTGATCATTCTAAATTTCATCTTTGGAAGGAATTTAGAAATATTTCTCCGAATGTTTGATGAATGAGGGCCCTGGAGTCTGACACCTCAGGCGAGTTTCTGCATCTTCAAGACTCATCCTGATTCAGATCATATGGTGGGGTCAAAATTCAGCTTCAGGTCAAGATCCCACCTCCATCAGCACTGTGGAAAAACTTCTTCAGCTGACTCAGAGGAACATAAATTTCACCTTGTGCTGCCAAACCTAACCCATTAGCATTGAACCACCCCACCCCCACCCCCCACCCCCAAAAAATGCTGGAGGAAATGTGGCTCTCCTCTGAGCCCCTCCCAGATGTCTGAGCTCCTCACTCGCTGCAGCCAATCAGGGAGTGGGTGGTTGTGGCCAGCAACAGCTTGTTTTCCTTATAGTGACAGAGCCGTAAAATGGCTCATTCTGGAAGGTACAAAAATGTCAGGAGACGGGACGTCTCCGTCTGGTCTTTGTCCTTAGACACTAACGGTGTGAAGATAAAGACATAGAGGGTTTGTTTTTCTCATTTCAAACCAAACTGATGATTAAAATCACCAGAACCAGTTTCCCGTCTGACGGTCAGGGGTAGATCTCCAGCCACATGAAATCATGTTGATGTTGGGTTGATGGACAGTTGGAATTCAAGCTACGTGATGTTCTGTAACAGAATCAGTGTTTGAGAGAGGAAAAACAATCGGATCAGACGGGTTCTGGTGCTGATCTGGTTGTTGCTTCCAATCCAAGTTAACGGGGATTAAAGAGCATTAGGAGCAGGATAACCTCTGCCTGCAGCCAGTTAATCTAGCAGCATGTTAATGAGTCTTGTAGTGGATTGCTTAAATTAAAAGCTAACATCAACAGTCATGTGGCTGAAGCAGCACCACCAGGCTGGGCCTCCATAACAATGCATTAAGTGATTTGTGTTGCAGTAATCATGTAATGAGAGACAAACAATGGAATGAAGGAAATGGGGGGGGGGGGGGGGGGGGGTCATCAAGGGAATGGATCTCAGACCTGGTCATGTGACTGTCTCTCTGCTCTGACTGGGTAACAGCCTTCAGGTGTGTTTTGTGCAGCAGCTGTCTCTGCTGGACATCATAGCTCCACCTGAATGTTTTACCTTCAGAGCTGAGCTCAGATAATGGTTTATGTCTCAGATCACTGATCTCAGATCTGGTAAAACATTTCAGGTTACTGACCTCAGAAACGATGACTGACCGCAGCTCAAGGTCAGGTTATTGATCTCTGGTCAGTGGGCTCAATAGAATAGAATAGAATAGAATAGAATAGAATAGTGACCCAGATAAAGTTGCAGTCATTAGGGAGGTCGAGAGAACATGATAAAAACATATAAAAAGAGCGCAGAATGTGTGCGTGTGTGTGTGTGTGTGTGTGTGTGTGTGTGTGTGTGTGTGTGTGTGTGTGTGTGTGTGTGTGTGTGTGTGTGTGTGTGTGTGTGTGTGTGTTCTTGTACTTAATACTGAGGACCATTTTAACCATTTTCCCTACAGAGTGAGGACATTTTTCTGGTCCTCACTTTTTTCGAAGCTTACCAGTTGGTTTTAGAGGTCTGGTGTGAATGAAGTTTTAGTTAAGGTTAGGGTTAGGCATAGTGGAGTCACACACGTGAATGGAAGTCAATGGAGGGTCCTCACTATTATAGAAAGACAGACATGGATGTGTGTGTCCTTGTGTGTGTGTCCTTGTGTGTGTGTGTGTGTGTGTGTGTGTGTGTGTGTGTGTGTGTGTGTGTGTGTGTGTGTGTGTGTGTGTGTGTGTGTGTGTGTGTGTGTGTAAAACGGTCTATGCACAAAACTGAGGACAAAAACAAGCCTCACCTTCAAACTGAGGACACTGGTACCAAAGTGATTTTAGTTTGATGCAAAGTCATCAAAAATGTCATCATATTCAATTCAATTCAATTCAAGTTTATTTATATAGCGCCAAATCACGACAAGAGTCGTCTCAAGGCACTTCACATAATAAATGTTCCAATTCAGGTCAGTTCATTAAGCCAATCAGAAATAATGATCCCTATATAAGGAACCCAGCAAATTGCATCAAGTCACTGACTAGTGTCAGTGACTATACAGCAATCCTCATACTAAGCAAGCATAGAGCGACCGTGGAGAGAAAAACTCCCTTTTAACAGGAAGAAACCTCCACAGAATCCTGGCTCAGTATAAGCAGCCATCCTCCACGGCTCACTGGGGATCGAGAAGACAGAGCACACACACACACACACACACACACACACACACACACACACACACACACACACACACACACACACACACACACACACACACACACACACACACACACACACACACACACACACACACACACACACACACACACACACAACACACAACACACAACACACAACACACACAAGTAATGTGTCTATAGTTATATTGTGATGTCTTAGTAAATATTCTATTTGGTGAAAGATAAACTTTATTGTATTTATCCTAGTGGATCTATAATTAAACTGGTAAACTAGTATTAGCACATCCAACGTCAAGGAAAGCAAAAAGTTATTATAAGGAGGGAGAATGTTTAAGTGGTTAGCAGCAGTGTGCTAGACGATAGCCCCCTCCATGAGGCCACCACAGCTCAGCAGAACATCTGCAGCATTTTGGACAAGCTGAAGACTTTTAACTACGTTCTGTGGACTTCCTGATAGTAATGAATTACAGTAATCCAGTCTTGATGTAATAAATGCATGAACTAGTTTTTCAGCATCACTCCTGGAAAGGATGCTTCTAATCTTAGCAATATTCCGAAGGTGGAAAAAGCAAATCCTGCAAACCTGTTTAACGTGGGATTTGAATGACATGTCCTGGTCAAAGATAACACTAAGGTTCCTTACTTTGTTCTCGGAGACTAATGTAATACCATTCAGGTCAGGTGATTGGCTAAGCAATTTCCTTTTCTGGATTTCTGGTCCAAAGATGAGAATTTCCGTCTTGTCTTGATTTAAAAGCAAAAAGTTTAGAGTCATCCAATTTTTTTGGAATATGAAATCTGCTCCCCTACTGAGTGATTGATACTAATCAGAGCCAGGTTAGTGAGCCGCCCCTGAAACATAGGTGACCTCAGGTATGACTTGGTCAAGTTTTGAAAAGCTCCTCTCAGCTTGAGCCACAGTGACTGGCAGAGCAGTCCAAACGTTGGGGTAGATCTCCAATAGATCTTTATCATGATCCATAATATTTTAGAATTGCCTCTGAAATTGTAATTTAAACTGACATAAATAAACGGTAGACTACCAAAAATGCCAACTTTTACAGAACAAATCATGTAAAAATAATCAGTGCAGCCATCTGCAATAAATAAACAGGATAGTTAGTGGTGACTTTCTTCTGCTTGTAGAGTTGTTTTATTTATTATTATGTGAACATGATCAACATGTGTTTGTTGTTGTTGAGGCAGGCCACAGGCTGCAGCGAGCATTTAACAAATCCTAGTTTGAATCAGTAAAAAAACGATTCAAGGAATTTTTTCGAACCATTTGAATATTCGTTTCAATATTTCAGCCCTATTAGCTCTGTTAGCAATTAGTTGACTGAATTTAACCGTTAAAATCCCAGTTAACTGGTTCAAAAAATTGAAAACATGCATCATGAGAGCATACATACCTTTATCTTTCTCCTCTTTTTTCTTTTTTTTTTCCTGAATCGGGCACCTGGTGGTTTAAGCCTTTTTATGTTCATCTCTTCTGTTTGGCTCTTGACTCAGTAAGTTTCCTTTAGTCAGGACTAAACAATGTGACCTTGATGGGGGGGTGACCACAAACTCGTTTTGTTTTTC